GTAGTCACGAAAACAATACTTAATTCAAAAAAATAGGTGAAATTGAATGGAAACGTCAGCTCAACTCATATGATTGTGGTAAAATTCTTCTTCTACCAGTCCTGCTTCACCTTAAACAAAATTGGGTGAATACATTTCATACTACTGATTTACTGTCAGTCACGAAAACAATATTTAATTCGAAAAATACGTAAAATTGAATGGATACGTCAGCTCAACTCATATCCTTGTGGGAAAATTCTTCTTCTACCAGTCCTGCTTCACTTTAAACAAAATTGGGTGAATACATTTCATACCACTGATTTACTGTCAGTCACGAAAACAATACTTAATTCAAAAAAATAAGTGAAATTGAATGGAAACGTCAGCTCAACTCATATCATTGTGGGAAAATTCTTCTTCTACCAGTCCTGCTTCACCTTAAACAAAATTGGGTGAATACATTTCATACTACTGATTTACTGACAGTCACGAAAACAATACTTAACTCGAAAAATATGTGAAATTGAATGGAAACGTCAGCTCAACTCATATGATTGTGGGAAAATTATTCTTCTACCAGTCCTGCTTCACCTTAAACAAAATTGGGTGAATACATTTCATACTACTGATTTACTGACAGTCACGAAAACAATACTTAATTCAAAAAAATAAGTGAAATTGAATGGAAACGTCAGCTCAACTCATATGATTGTGGGAAAATTTTTCTTTTACCAATCCTTCATCACCTTAAACAAAAATATATTTAACCAACTTCGTCAAGGTGATGAAGGAGGACGAGCAGTTCACTTTTCTCACAGTCAGCTGCATTGAATTTCACATAGTCTTGATGGCAACAGACCATTCCCATCCAGACAGGCGTGCATTGCAATTCCAACCTGGCTTCAACCGGTGAAATGCTATGATTGTGCACAAATTAAACCATAACTCGTTGCACACCTTCATCGTAACAGGCTGCGCAAACGGCATAAATCCAATTGACTGTTCGTCTCGAAAACCGACTCAAAACGAAACTTAACTAAAAGTAGTCATTTCAGTAGTATCCTGGCCAGTGGATCGATGCGAAATGGCTCTTCAAAGAAAGCCGTCTGCGACACTTGCTCCACGACTTCGGCGCCACTTGCGCTGCTCCTTTCCAATGTTTCGCTCGCCGGACCGGCTTGACTGAGAGCGCCACTCGCCAGCCAACCGCAACCACAACCACAACCACAACCGCAACCACAACCACAACCGCAACCGCAACCGCAACCGCCACGGCAACTGGCGAATCCCGTGTCCAATATGGTCTCGACGGCGAGCAACCTGAGCCTGCCGGTGGTCGACTACCCGCCGGCGATCCGCGGCAGTCTGCGGCTGCTGTTGCAGACGAAGGACGCGCTGATGGGCGCCTTCGACACGCTCGAACGGTACCGACAGCATCTGCTCATCTGCCGACGCAGCTTTGCGCGCAGCCTCGTCGTGCTCCAGTTGGCGCAGAGTCGAGCCGGCCTGCACCAACTGCGCCGCCAGTTGGCCGGCCTCGAGGCGGAGGCGCGTCGAAAGGCGACGCGCAACGGCGAGCTGAGCAGGTTCGTGGAGACGCGGCTGCGGCGAACGGCGACGCCTCGCCGTCCCGCCGAGTCTGGCGCCAGTCGCAGACCAACCGCGTTTTGCCCGCAACTCTTCGCAATCACGCCGCCGATGCTTTCCGCTCAGGACGCTCTGCAACACGCTCTTCACGGCCGCAGCGTAGACGTTGACGTCGGCGTCGACGTCGACGTCGACGTCATCGACGTGCCCGACGAGGTCGACCTGGCCACGGCGCTCACCGACTGCGGCAGTCGACTCGTCTCGGTCGTCGAGTTTTACCGAGGCCTGTACTTCTTGCAGATGCACTTTCAGGCAAGCACACGTCGAGACACACGCCTCGACTTCGGCCCCGTTCGCCATTCGCCATTCGCCATTCGCCATTCGCCGTTCGAGTCCGTCTAGCAACCGGTTGGGACGGTTGGCGATTGGCCGCCACACGGATCGACAGCATCTGCGTGATTTGCCGACATTTTGTCGAAATTCATTCGCACTACTGTCGACGATATGAGTAGCCGAGTGCGCGATTAGAAGAGAATTAGGATTGACGACTGGTCGTGT